ATTGATTAAATTAATCGAATTGTTTTTAACTTTGAAAGTGATGATAAATCTATGCACGGAAGAATTTTTTTAATATTTTTACAATTTTCGAGAGAAAAGTTTCTACGAACTAATACTTATCAATTAATAGCATAGATTAATTATAGATTAATTCATTAATTTATTAATCAATTTAATTTATTAATCTAATTGATTCGATTAATTTAATTAATTGATTCGACTAATTCAATTGATTCGATTGACTTAATTGATTGGATTAGTCGAATCAATTGATTAAATTAATCGAATTGTTTTTAACTTTGAAAGTGATGATAAATCTAGGTACGAAAGAACTTTTTTAATATTTTTACAATTTTCGAGAGAAAAGTTTCTACGAACTGACACTTGTCAATGAATAGCATAGATTAATTATAGATTAATTCATTAATTCGTTAATCAATTTAATTTATTAATCTAATTGATTTGATTGATTTAATTGATTGAATGAGTCGAATCAATTGATTAAATTAATCGAATTGTTTTTAACTTTGAAAGTGATGATAAATCTAGGTACGAAAGAACTTTTTTAATATTTTTACAATTTTCGAGAGAAAAGTTTCTACGAACTGACACTTGTCAATGTAGAGGACTTGGCGCTTTGAAACGAGGCCAATTATATTGTAGTACGATCGTTTTTCTTTGCACAACTTGTTACATCACAACTTTCAAATTGTCGACAATTTTTCACTGTCATTGTCACAATGAAGCTGTATAATATAAAAGCGTTGTGTCTGTTATAGTTAAGGGGAGAAAATATCTGCTTGAAAGATACTTTCGATTGCAGATAGACGAGATCGAGATAGACGAGTATTAGACGAAGGAAGACGATCCTTGCGATAGGCGACATTTCATTGCACGTAATTGCTCACATTCTACCACGATAGAAATCATTACTAAATGGCTTCTTTCGTCGTTGAGTAATATCTTTCAAATCGTGCCACGTCCTTTCTGTTTTTTTTTTTTTTTTTTTCTTTAAATATCCTCGATCCAATCACTTCGTTTCCATAAAAGAGACTTGTTTCTAATTGGCATTATTATTGATAATGATATAAACAGTATATTGAACTGGATCAATGAATTGGACAGGTGAAATCGTGGAAATGTGAAATCGATTTTGGCGCTGTTTCTCACAATTTCCTGCGCGGCAAGGAAATTCGCCGGTTGCGCCGATGCACCGATATTTAGAGCGAGTTTCGAAGCGATCGTTGTTCGACGTTACGAAACGTTCGGGGGAATCCGTTTGGCCGAATTGCATCGGAGGATCGTTACGCCAGCATTAATCTCGTGAGAACTCACTCAGTTTCTTCGATCAGAGTAGATACGGAACACGTGAACCAAGGA